TCCATTACATTACAGATATTACTGTATGTCACAGTGAAGGTACAGTCAGAAGGTACAGATTTTAAGCCAYATCCAGTTTTAAAAGTTTTACTGCAGGAAGCTTCTCTGCAAATCTTTTGCAGATTCCCTTCATACTTCTTCCATAACATAAAAGAAAAAGAGCAAGGAAATTAGTCCTACAGAATAAATGGTCACTAATTTCTTCTGTATTTATAAAAATAAAATATTGTTTAAGGACATCTATCTTAAAGACAATCTGTATTTAGAGGAAGCAGAATCCAAGCCCTGATCTATTCTCTAGTCACAAATTCTATGCCCTCATTTGACAAAGTAAAGGCTACATATTCAACATGCTGATGTTGAAAACCTTCTTCCCAAAACGCTGTTAAAATTGCCTTAACTCCTATCAGATATCATAGCAGTTGTTTTCCTCGAGTTAATTACAAGACCTCAAATACATAGTCATTTTGATTAGTATAGGACAGTATTATGATGTTTTGATTAAAGTAATAGCAATCTTGACTAACTCATTGGACCAATAAAAGGCCATGAGAAGATGGGTAGATGYGATTTCTGAAGGCAAGAAAGGCTTGTATTGGAAAGAGTAGAGCATCTGATGTGTTGTCTAAAGAGGACAATAAAGTTGCATGTGATTCTTTACCTAGGATTGCTCAAAACAGTATGACCTGGCTAGGAAGGAGGAGGATGGAGRTTGGAAATCTGTGGATTCCCTTCTTGGCTGTGGAGTATTGTGCACAAAATGCAGAATGTGCTGGATGTGATTCAGCAAAAGAGCCTCAGAATTAAAAATATGCTTCAATATGCTCTGCTGCTGCCCAAGACCCCTCAGAACTGCTCCCTTGAGTAAGAGGTGAGCACTCAGTGCTAACTTAAGCCCAGATTCATCATCCTGCTTACCAAACAAAACACCTCGCCCACATGCTCAAAGCAGCAAATCATAAGTCCACCCAAGGCAAACTGATGCCATGCCAGCTGTTACTTCCGAGTTAGTGAATTGACACAGTTTTTAAATTCAGCTTTTGCTGAATTGTTTGTTGTTGTTGTTGTATATTGTTTTGACTTAAATGACACTATTTTTTAATTTATTTATCTAATAGAGTATTTTGGTAAATGAATGTCTTTATCTTTTAAGTGCTTAAGGACAAAATTCATTCAGAATCCTCACAGAAATATCTCCAAATGTGAGGTTAGGTACTTGCAAGTTTACACAAAAAGCAAGAAATGTCAAAGGAATGGCACTATGTTCAACTTTCTGTAGGAGTAATTTTGTGATGAGAGTTTCTTCTGTTTGTAAGGAATTTAAACCCTGGGATAATTTATACAAAAGAAAATTTTACATGTATAAATATTTGTAGGATCAGAGATTCAGGCTGACCTTCAGCTGCCTTGTTTTCAACAAACTAAGATTCGTTTTAGTAATTATCTACCACATTATACTTGTGTGTTGAGCTTGTGCTTCTCCAGATGTTCAGTCTAAAATGTGCCTTTGAATGGAAGCCTTCCTGCTTTTGGAAAGAAGTGTGCTGCTAAAGTTTTCCTGAGCAGAAAAAGTTAGAAATGCACAAAGCACACAAACCCCAAAATGAAGAGCAAAAATTCTCAAAAAATCATTTTACTCTAAAGGCTTTGGGTGTTCATATATATTGGAGGTTCGTGATGAAAGTCTCRGCACAGGAAACCATTGACTTCTACAAGAATATGTACATCTATACAGAGAGTGAAGTGTCCATGGAAGACTGCCTTCCATTCAGCAGAGGAAGCAGCACAAGGGCCAGTGGTCCTTTAGCCTTTCCTCTGTAGTCCTCAGTTGCTTAATTTTGTTTTAAGGCCTTTTGCCAGAGTCTCCTACAGAAGCAGAAGCCTCGAAGATTAAGGGCTGCAGATATCTCTCCTCCGTCTCCATGTGAGGAGGAACTTCTTCCCTGTGAGGGTGACAGAGCAGTGGAACAGGCTGCCCAGGGAGGYTGTGGAGTCTCCTTCTCTGGAGATCTTCCCAACCCACCTGGATGCCGCCCTGTGCCACATGTTGTAGGTGTGCCTGYTTGAGCAGGGAGGTTGGACTAGATGATCTCTAGASGTCCCTTCCAACCTTGAATATTCTGTAATTCTGTGATATGTGAATATCCATAGCTACAGGCTGTATCTAGTAATTGCTGTCCTGGTTCTTAAGACACASTCTGACAGTCTTACACAGGCCAAATAGAACACCTATTCCAAACGGCATGGTTTTTGTCCAAGTGAGAATACCTCTCTCTTTCTTGATCTCCTAGCTTCACGTGGCAACTCCTYCAAACAGCATACCAAAGAATAAAACACAGCTTTCAAGGGTTTCTTGGGCCAAAATTTGTGAATTGGTTAATGCTACGGTTTGCAGGAATCAGAGGGATGCCTGGGAAGCAATTAAGCAGTGCWGTCCTGTTGCCAGTGTGTTCCCAGGCATTATGAAGAAATCTGTGCTTCCTCTGAACATTTCCAATGTATAACAGAGAGCTGAAAAAACRGTGTTTTTTGTCCTAAACAATTTTTTTTAAGATTTATTTATTTTTCGTGCTACACTGGGGTGCAGTTTCTTTAAGATGTAGCTTTCAAATCTACCTCCCTAATGCCAACACTTTCAGAAAACTGGACACTTTCTTTACTGGAGTTTTGTTTACTTTTAAATACAAAAGCAATTTCATCTTAATCTTCATAAATGCTGAGTGTTAAGGAGTTTTTATTTGGAAGTAAGAATGACACTTTTAGCCTTCATAGAAGTTTGTTCCCAATTCATGTTTCTTTTCTTTGAAGCACTAGACAAGTTAAAAATACTTTCTCAGTAAGACATGCCAATATTTTAATGTTTGATTGAAGGAACTGGGAAAGATGTATTTTTTAGTTGGACTTGCGGCAGTATTTGAGCTATTGCTCAAACATAATATTGAAAATATTTGATTTCTGAAACTGCCAACTTTTTCAACTTCTGAGATAAAATCTATTACTCTAGGTCTTTAAGGGAAAACATAACAAAACCCAGCAATGCTCTTTATCAGAATCTCACATCGTTTTTAAGTCAGCACTACTCCTCTTTTAGGGTAGGAACCTTCTTCATCCTAGAAATGGATTTTCTCTTTTCATACCACCCTATCCTGTCGTACTACCTGCCATTTTAAGTGGAGAAGTTAAACAATTGCTACGACTTCACTGCTGCCTGTTCAGGTTCAACCTAAACTGATTCCATTACCTGCAGTCAGCATGAGGTTGCATTTCACAGCTATACCATTCAGCAGCCCTACATAGCCAAATAAATCAGAGAGACCAATTTTCATCCCAGATATTTCACCTTAGGTGCATTTGCTTCCGAAGAAATGCTGCTGACCCTGTAGCAAGTACAGATGTGTTGTGCACATGCATTTTATTCACTGCTAGCAATTGATTTAAGAGATTTAAGAGGGCAAAATAAACATTTCTAATACAATATATTGAAATTTCACAAAATCACTGTTTTATTTCTATCATGCAATACTGATGTTTGCTCAATTTGGCCTAATACTAAGACATATTAGGAGGAAGAAAATAAGGAAGATTTCAAGCAAGCACTGTATACTGAATAGTGTTGGTACCACTGGTTCCACGGTTAATTTCTACTTAAGCATACAACTGGCCCAATAATCACATGCATCCTGGCAGATACAAGATCAATATGCAGCTTATTACTTATTACAAAATAAGTACTAAAATAATTACTTACTGGGGTACACTGCAAATTAAAAGCAATTCAATATAGTGGTGTCCTCGGATAAAAAAACAAAAATGTAGGCAGGATCTGGTTAAAAGGAGAAAGAAGAGGGATAGGAAATACAGAATTGAGTGGTCATTCTGTGAGATTATCTTTGAAATAAAATGCTTTTAAATGGCTCCTTGTTAAAATAAGCTAAACCTGGCAAATAGTACTGAGTCCATCACAATGAAATTGTGGGTCTACACTTTTTCACCCATGATGGTAGAACATTTAAATGGATAGATGTATTTATAGCACTAAATCAAAGTACCAGATGAACCTCAAACAAAACAAGAACCAACAGAACCACCATTAGTTATAGATTATAACCAGTATCAACTTATGTCCCATGCACTACTTTTGTTGCTATTGCAGAGACTGCAGCGCTGCTGGCCTATGGTGCAATGCTTGACCACCTTGACCACTAGATCAGTAAGTGACCGTGCCACGAAACTCTGATGATCACTCACTGGTTAAGAAAAGCTCTACTCTCTGAGAATGGGATGTGATTCCATCTTACAACCATCAGGCCTCATGCCTCTGCTGTAGGGCTGCTGTGCTGCAAAGAGAARTGCAGCACTCTCTAGGATAGAAATATACTTGTGTTTGGCATTGATGTGGTATGTATGAACAGCTGTGTTATCAAAGACCTTGACCCATTTGCTAAGAGATGTTTTGATAGAGGCTACTCCCGATGAATAGTAAGGAGAATAGCACTGAAAGTTTATCAAATTCGCTCTTTTGCTATTTCAGGCAACCATTTCATGTAATCACTGCCATAAATGAATCGAGTTCCATCTAAAAAAGAAAAAAAAAAAGTAAAAGTTTTATATATATTATTTCCTTGAGAAGGTAATTTGAGAACCTTACTTCTCTATTGGTTTGAAATCTTCCCTTCTAAACGCATGCACAACCAATTTCTACACACTCGTTCTTCTCCTTGCTCAGGAACAAGATAAATAGCTGTACACTGCAACCACTCCCCCAGACTTTCATCTCCATGAGACCATAGATCTGCAGCTGTGCATTGGAACCTGTTCTGTGTTTGCAAGGTCCATCACACAATCATCTCACAAGGTGCAAACCACAACATGAGACGGAGCGTGATACCTGGAGGGGGACCGTATCTCACAGCTCCCAAGTGACTGCGTGGATGCCATTCCACTAAAATTGGGCACTACTGATCCTGACTGGTAACCCTGGAGCCTCCAGACTGGGGAACAGCTCCTGATTCATGAGTAGAGTCCATCAGTCAGAAAACATAATTAAAAAAAAAAAAAAAAAGAAAAAAGCCCCAAGCCATCTGGTCCAGAATTAAAAACTGCGGAATCTGCAAACATTAGAGACACAATCAGCTTAACTCTGGCAGAGGAGTAACAACAATGAATTGTAAAGTCTTCATCTATATGGAAAGGTATATATATACGCACACATTCCATACCTAAACGTGTGTATTTATAGTTAGTCATATATACATGTATTCCTGTAAAATTAAGCACTCAGAAACAATATGTTTAAAAGATATTCTCACAAAAATACATCTAATCTTGTTGCTCCATTCCGAGCTCACAGGGCTTTGACCAAATGCTGCAGCATATAGACCATCCCACCTTTTAGGGACATTATAGCAAGAGGGGGAAGTATTATCAACTCTGAATTCATGTCAGTCACAAACACGTGAGAATGGCCCTTCGTGATTTATTTTCTTTCATTTGAGTAGCACAAGCTACTGAATACATAGAATATTTTCATCCTGCAAATAGAATACTGCAAAGTTGTATATGCCTCTGAGGAAGTAAGCCCTAGTGCTATTTTATTCAAACTCAACATTTTAATAGTCTTTCATTACATGAGCTTAAAGTGTCTTTCATTTAAAAAAAAMCCCAAAACACTAAAAAAGCTGCAACCTCTTCCCAAACCACTGCAGTGGCAGTGGCATAAACTAGGGCAAAATTCATCGCACCAGATTTTAATTAGAGTTAAATAAATAAATAAATAAATAAATAAATAAATAAGGTTATGTTATGAAGCCATTGTTAGCATCCTTAAAAATAATATTGTTTAGCTGGTCAGTATGCATGTGGCCAGCCTCCAGCCTTCTTTCCAGCTGTAATGTGCTGCGTTCCCTACATGAGACACACTGTCACATCAAATCCTGCAGTTGTAACTCATGCAAAACTCTTTTGACTTAAGTACAAATTTTGCCTGAGCAGAGACTGTGGACCAAAGGAAATAAGCATCTCTACAAGGCAATGCTACATTTATTATGAGAGACTCTGAAGAAAAAAAAAAAAAAAAAGATGGAAATTACCTGCAAAGGAAGAGACAGCTCCAAACGCTCCTCAGTTTCTGCCGGTCATTGCACCAGTGGGTTTTCTCCACCAGAAAGGGGTCGGTGGGGCGGTCAGGGGGCTGTATCCCTGCTTCCCGCTGCCTTCCCAACGCGGCGCGTTGCTGCCGTGGGATGTGCGTGCGCTCCGTGGATGCCGCTCCTGCTGCTCCGCTCCCTGCGCTCGCTCTCCCAGCGCTGGGGCCGGGCTGGAGCGTTGGTTGGCTGGGCTGCAGCTGCTCGCTCGCTCACTCCCACTCATGGACTGTGGCTCCAGCCCCTGCCCGAGCTGATGCCTAAATGGCGACTGCGAAGCTCATCCCAGCTTTTAACTGCCACCTACTGAATAACTGTGGAATGCGCGTATGTGTGTACGTACATCTGCACATACATATAGGCTGCAGTTTTCTATCTGTCTCACCAAAACGCAGTGCGTTTTTGCGATTAATTTTTCACCCGTGCAAATATTTAGTAGCTTATCATTTAAAGCTGTGGTTTACATTAATCTGTGCCCATGTGTCTCCATTTCAATCAGCAGTTGAATGTGGAACAAGCCTGCTTTTTTTTTTTTTTTTTTTTTTTTAAATCTTTAAAAAGCATACAAAGCCTATGGTTATGCTAATACCCAGGGGGCATAAATCAGCATTCAAGTCCTTGGAGCTGTGCTGATTTAGAGTAGCAGGATTTCAGTCCCTTAGGTCTAATATTTATTTGCCAAAATACTGTGGAATACAATACTAAAAACAAACCATAAAAATATCTTTACTCTGACATAGCCCCTCAAATTTTCACTCACTTGCTTTTTTACATAGCAAAGCAAAAGAGTTTTCTTACAACTTTATGGGCAAATGTAAAGTATGTGAATACACTCCTCTTCAGTGGTAGATTTTGAGAGACCTGTGAAAGTGTAAAGAAAAGATCTAATGGCTCTTCCAGCTCCTGTTTAAAGCAACTCCTAAAAACCTTCAAAAGGCTTTTCTTTTCCCATCTTTGAGTGGGGTCCAGTGGCAGTACCACTGCAAGAGGGAGTTTGGTTGCAGGATCTGGCTCTGAGTCACCGAGTTGGGAGAAGGACTCATTGCCCAGAAGTTGGGGCATGTGCTAGGGAGGGAAGCAGGTCTTTAGGTTCACAAAGTCCAACATCTGAGTTCATATAGCCTGTGTGTGTGTTGCATCCTGCCATAGCACAGCATGCTGYATTTATGATGATAGTGATGGCAATGCAGTTAAGCTTTCCCTATAAACTTGGTGCTGTTGCCCWGGAATTCAGCCTGTGTGTTATCCTGATACAGGTAGACTGCATTATGAGTGCAAAAGCTGGCCCTATTTCTCCTCGTTTCTACATAGTGTTGCTGTAGTACCACACAGTGCAGCTCTTCAGTAATCTTTGGAGCTGAAGGTGCAAGTGCTCATTGAGTGTACCCTCATAGGAAATGTGGCTTTTAATTTGTCTTTAAATTAGTAGGTCCTTGATGAGTGTTAGAGATATGATTTGCCCTATCTTTTACTTGTTCAACTTACATTTCAAGTCTCAGAGATTTTACAATCTGGAACTACAATTGCCAAGATGTTCAGGCTCTTATGAAAGTACAGAACCACAGAATCACAGGATGGCTGAGGTTGGAAGGAACCTCTAGAGATCATCTAGTCCAACCTCCCTGCTCCAGCAGGGACACCCAGAGCACGGGGCATAGGGTGGCATCCAGGCGGGTTTGGAAGATCTCCAGAGCAGGAGACTCCACAGCCTCCCTGGGCAGCCTGTGCCAGGGCTCTGTCACCCTCACAGGGAAGAAGTTCCTCCTCACATGGAGATGGAACTTCCTGTGTTGCAACTTACACCCATTGCCCTGTGTCCTGTCACTGGCTACCGCCTAGAAGAGTTTGGCCCCTTCCTCCCTAYATTCACCCTTCAGGTATTTATACATATTGATCAGATCCCCTCTCAACCTCTTCTCCAGGCTAGCCAGGCCCAGCTTGCTTAGTTTTTCCTAAAGCGTCCTGAGAGACGCTTCAGTCCCCTAATCATCTTTGTCTCTCTGCAATCGACCCTCTCKAGAAGCTCCACGTCCTTCTTGTCCTGGTGAGTCCAGAACTRCCCCCARTACTCCAGGTGCRGCCTCCCCAGAGCTGAGCAGAGGGGCAGGATCCCCTCCCTCCMCCTGCTGCCAACATCCTCCTGATGCAGCCAGGAKCCCATTGGCCTTCYTGGCCACGAGGGCACTGCTGCCTCATGGGTAACTTGGTGTCMACCAGGACTCCCAGGTCCCTCTCCGTGGAGSTGCTTTCVAGCAGGTCRACCCCTAATCTGTCCTGGTGCCTGGGGTTATTCCTGCCCAGGTGCAGGACCCTGCACTTGTCCTTGTTGAACCTCATGAGGTTCCTCTCTGCCCAATTCTCCTGCRTAGCCTGGTGCCTCTGAACTTAACCTTTTAATATCCTGATTCTGTCTAAAAATCTAGTTTACTCCAATTTTCCTGGAGCTCCTTGTAATTCTCTTCTTAAATTTCTAAGAAATCATCTATATTACCAGGCACACATTTTGGTTTTGCATCCTTTCTCTGCCTTCTCTATCTGTTGAAAGCATCATGAGCTTTTTCTGGTTAGAAGTGCAGTGCTAGGACACYACACTATATTACACTGTAAGGTATATTTGTATGGGATTCACTTCTCATCCCTACCAAATAATAACACAGAAGTGCTGCTCTTCAGCAATGGTCATGCACTCTTTTTTCATGGAGTTGTTCAGACTGTGCAGGCTTTTGAAAACTCATGTGTGACCTAGCCCATAAAAGCAAATTATCCACACTGAGTCCCTATAGCAGACTCCTCAGGCCACATCTCACTTCTTCATGTCAGTGTATACTCCTGTTTGTTGTTCATGCCCGGCCTTGCTGTGTTGTTCATGCTGAAGGACTCACTAAGGACCTCCACTGTGAAACTTCAAAATCCACACTGGCATGCCTCATGCACTGCTGCATGGCAGGCAAACATCAGAGGACAAGGGTGCAAAGACTCAGGACCACACTTTCATTAGAAGTTTCCTCCAGAGAAAAGTCCTGTACAGACTTTGTGGTTATTACATTTTGGTATGGTATCCTGAGTTAGTGTTCAAGGAACAAGAACCTCTTGAGTTACCAAAATATGAGCTGCCTAAGGTTTGAATGCGCAACCACCACAGCCTGGCATGTGCACTGGAAGTAGGGCTTCTGGGTTACGATTCACCCCAGGGTCCACATATGAAAAAGTAATAGTTTGACATGGAAAACTCTTGTTTTGTTGTAAGGACTGTTTATGTGCAAGGAAGAAACCTGTTGTGATCAAGAGCAAAAGGAGAAAGCAAAAACTCATCCTCTCTTTCATGATTTCCCATCTGCTTGTCTCTATATTTTTCTGGGACACACTTGCAATTCCATATCCTAGCTAAAGTACATCCATCTTCCCTCACATTCTTCAGCTTTCTAATTGGCAAATAGTTTTTTAGCTACATRAATCCATAAAGAAATCTAGTTCTGCCTTACAATTATTAGGGATAAAAATAGTGATTATCTTTACTGTAAAATACTATGTTAATTTCCCATACTCTGTTTTAGAGTTGTGTTCAAAACTGAATGAATGACTTGTTAATCAGCAGTACCTAGGATGTTAGAAAAGAACATATTATATTTTTATTTTTATTTTTATTTTTATTTTTAATTTAATATTTTATTTTATTTTATTTTATTTTGAGATGTACTAGAATTTTACCTGGAAATAGCTTTTATTTTGTCCAATAGCTAAACAGGGAGAAATTATTATGAAGAGTGCTTCTTCAGGACAACTGATGGTGAACAGTGGATTTGTGAATGTCCTGTACTTGATGCAGTAATTTGATTTGTACTTTGTAAATGTGCTGTGGCTTTGGCTGCAGGAGGGATGATCATAAAAGCTCTATTTTGTATCAGTGTGCTGCATTTGAATCTTAGGCACTGTCCACCATTTTGTAGATGAAGCATAAAATTGTCATGGTCTTTTTAATGCATGCATGCTGCTTTGAACTTATAAAGCTCCACATAAGCCGAAAAGTAGTAAGTCTCTACTGTATATCATTTTGAAAATGTAATAATCTAATTATTCATTATGCTTTTATTATTCAACCAGAGTGTATCGTAGACATCATTTACAATGCACTGTATCACTGTCAGACAGATCACTGTCTCTGATAGAATTGCATGTTATATATTAAGCAAATGTGATTAAAATCCATGCATAGTTTATCAGGCACTATTTTTATACATATATATATATATATATATAAAATATATGTGGATGGCATATAGGAATGCTGTGAGGTGACAGGGAGTCATACAGATTCTCATTTACGTTAAAATAACTCTTGACTACCTCCAGGCTCCTCTGAGTTTCCAGAGGCAGATCTTTATCTAATATATTTCAGCACTATAACAACTTCATCTGATGGTGAGTTGTTCTGTGAAACAGGGTTGTGGTGAGACTTCCTGTTGCACTTTTTCCAAAGGAGAACCTGTTACGTGGTAGAATTTTCAAGGCTGGTAGCTGGATGTGTGCAGTACTAGTATCACCAACCATCGTTTTTCAACTCATCACTTTGCAAGGCAGCCTTGTATCGTGCACATGAGATAAGAAGGAATTTTAGAAATTAAATCATTGCTATCATAATAAAATCCTGGCAAGTTCTTAGCTTTCAATAAAAGAAAGCAGCTGCTCCTGCAGTGCGTGTCACTCCCATTGACTATAGAGGGAGTTTGCTGTTGGAAGAAAAGGATGSCAGATCTCAGAGCATGATTTTCTTCTTCTTTAGATTTCAGGAGATTTCAGATCAGGCTCTTTCTTACTCTGTTGCTCTGCAACATGATAAAACAGATTCCTTTAGAGACGTCACTGAATTCTATTATTTTCCTTCAGAAGTTTGTAATTTTCAGCCAGGGTCATGGGAGAGTCGAAAAAGTCAGTTCTGCCTCACTGCCTGTATGACAGACACAACACCATGGTGTGCTTCCAAATCAGGAATAACGCATAGAGTTTTGCTGTTGATTTACCTGGTAATTAAAGCGGGACTTAGCCTACAAGTGGTGGGTGAGATGTCAGAAAAAGTGGCAGAAGGAGGCATGCTCTTGGCCCCTTCTCTAATATCTAACCTACTGA